AGGTCAATGGGGGGAAAGGAGATATATGTAATACTTTAAACAATAAAGAATTTAATTTTTTTTTAAAGGCAAACCATGATGATCTTAAATGCAATTTATCCCATGAAAACAGACTAAAAATGAATGGCCTTCTTAAAAAGATTCATAATTCACCCTAGTCAGTTTGGCTCAGTGGATAAATCATCAGCCTGCGGACTGAAAGGGTCCAGGTTTGATTCTAGTCAAGAGCATGTACCCTGGTTGCGGGCTCAATCCCCAGTAGGGGGCATGCAGAAGGGCATCCAATCAGTGATTCTCTTTCATCATTGATATTTCTATTTCTCTTTCCTTCTCCTTTCCTCTCTGAAATCAATAAAAATATATTTTTTTTAAAAAGACTCATAATTCTCCCACAAACCAGGACCACTATTCCACCAAGCCATTTTCTAGACTAAATCTTGGTTAGTCTAATGAGGTTGGCATTCCTGACAAAAACAAGTAGGCAAAAACCTAAACCTATATGTCCAATATTACAATCATTGGACTCTCACCGTTTTGGGGCATTTGACATGTGGCTTGTCCAAATTGAGATGTGCTGTAAGTATAAACTACACACCAGATTTAGAAGACTTGAGTACACAAAATATATATACCTATGTTATTGCATTTTAACTTTTTATATTAATTACATAGTGAAGCATAATATTTTAGACATAGTAAGCTAAATAAAATACAGTTTTAAAATTAATTTCACTTGTTTCTTTTTACTTTTTTTTTTTCTTTTTACTTTTTTAAATAAGAAATTTAAAATGACATGTGGTTCACATTTGTAGCTTGCACTGTATTTCTGTCGGGGAGAGTAAGTGACCAAAATAAAACACCCCTACATCAAACATACTTCTGGGTTGCTAAGCATTTTCAAATGTGACTAAAAGAATGAAGAAGGCCCTGACTGCTTTGGCTCAGTGGATAGAGCGTCGGCCTGTGGACTCAAGGGTCCAGGGTTCAGTTCTGTCAAGGGTATGTATGTACATTGGTTGCGAGCACATCCCCAGTAGGGAGTGTGCAGGAGACAGTTAATCAATGTTTCTCTGTCACTAATGTTTCTAACTCTCTATCCCTCTCTCCTCCTTTCTGTAAAAAATCAATAAAATATATATATATTTTTTTTAAAAAAGAATGAAGAACCAAAGCCGGTTTGGCTCAGTGGTAGAGCGTCGGTCTGCGGACTGAAAGGCCCCAGGTTCGATTCCAGTCAAGGGCATGTACATTGGTTGCGGGCACATCCCCAGTGGGGGATGTGCAAGAGGCGGCTGGTCGATGTTTCTCTCTCATCGACGTTTCTAGCTCTCTATCTCTCTCCCTTCCTCTCTGTAAAAAATCAATAAAATATATTTTTTTAAAAAAGAATGAAGAAGGGTATATGGTACCCGGGGCATCCAGAGGACATGTATAGCAACAAGCAGTGGCAGCAGCCATCATGTTGTTTTAAGTCAGTAATAAACATAACAACAAACTTGGTGACCAAGGAAAGATCGCAGTTGCAGATTCTCTTTTCCCCTGTTCCAAAGTGTCCCCGGGCCTCTCTGCTTACCTTTGATGAGCTCCGGCCGGTACGTCTTGCGCAGCTGCTCCAGGAAGCTGTTGTAGAAGCTCTCCGCCTGCTCCGAGGGCATTGCCAGGTGGAAGTCAGGCTTGTTGCCCTTGAGGACACACTGGAGGGTGAACTGGCTGACACAGAGCACCTCGTACTGTTTGTCCATCACACTCTTCGACCAGTGCTTCCCGCTCTCATCCTCAAACACACGGAGGTTTAAAATCTTTCGGACCCTACGGAGAAAAATAGCAGTGAGAGCTAGCTGGAGTCACAAGCCCCCCAATACATTTCATACCCCCAAATGTCACCAGCATCCTGCCAAACAAGAACATCAGGCTGACCCCATCACTTACAGAAAGTGTGACCTTGAGCAAGTTACTTTTCTTCTCTGTGCCTCAGTTCCCTCATCTGTAATACAGGGCAATAGTGGTCCTGCCTCACAGGGTACTTTGGGGATTTCCTTTTTGTGTGTGTGTGTGGGTCCCTCTAGCAGCCAGTGCCAGTTAGAACTGGAGCCAAGATGACAACCACCCATTATCAAAGCATGGGTCTAATTCTAATTTCTCTATAGGAGAATTCAATCTTTACACTGGAGTAAATGGTACCCCGTTTGTACACCCCTTCTTGGAGCTACTCAAAATGGACAATTCAGCAAATACCTGAGAGAGAACTTAGTGTTACCACAAATATATAAAAATATCTGAAAGAAAAAAAAGAAACAAAAAGATCTGGAGAAAAATACTTTAATAACTATATCACATGCTCCTTAAATCCTACACATGTGGATGGCAAAGGACAGCCCCCTTGGCAAGGAAGAGGACTAGGTAACATTTACAAGATCAGGTTTCAAGAGCATGACAAAGAACATCCTGCATGGAAGCTGAGATTCCACCAATGGAAAGCCACCTTTTGGGATGTTGCTGAAGATATGGTCGAGGGCTCTACAAATAGTAATTCCCTGTCTCTTCAGATGGGTCCTCTCTGTAGTGGGCACTTTTCACCACCTCCTCTCCACAGCCACAGTTTGTCTTCTGCTGAGCAAAATCTCTTAGCCACCAAGGTAAGTATTAACTCTCTAGAATGTCAGAGACATAAAGAGTTCAGACCCAGAGCTGCAGTTTGTAGCCACTACACCACTCTACTGTTTCAAGTATTCAGGGGAGAGCTGTTAAAATACCAACATCCCTGAAGTGGTAATGAACTATCCCTACCAGTCATCAACACCTTAGCAGGACTTGGATTTGCCATCTGAACAAAAGGGACAATTGGGTGGGGTATTACCCAGGCTCTGGGCACCAAAGGGCAGAATAAACAGATCCAAGCATCTGAGTAAATGTGTCCAGTGGTGCTGGGGTAAACAGGGGAGGGGAAAGCTGCTGTACAGCCATTTGGGCAATAGCAATAACGAACCCCCTACGTTAGTAAGAGGAGCACTAGGTTCTAATTCGGATTTGGACTTTCTGCTATGTGTACGTGACTTTGGGCAAGTATTGTAATTTAACCTCGCTGAGATCCAGATCCTTATTGCACAATGAACAGCTGGGCATTTTAAAAATGCTTTAACAGAACCACATCATATTTCTCAAATTACAAAACAGAAACAATGCATAAGAAAAGAGGCTCAGCCCTAGCCAATTTGAGCAATGGCCTGTGGACTGAAGGGTCCCAGGTTTGATTCCGGTCAAGGGCACATGCCTGGTTTGTGGGCTCCATCCCCAATGAGGAGTGTGCAGGAGGCACTTGATCACTGATCATTGATGTTTCTCTTTCTCTCAGTCTCCTCTCCTCTCTGAAATCAATAAAAATATATTTTTTTAAAAAGAAAAGAGATTCCGTTTTTAATTAAGAGGCTAGTTCACGCCGAAACTGGTTTGGCTCAATGGATAGAGCGTCAGCCTGAGGACTGAAAGGTCCCAGGTTTGATTCCGGTAAAGGGCATGTACCTTGGTTGCGGGCATATCCCCAGTAGGGGATGTGCAAGAGGCAGCTGATCGATGATTCTCTCTCATTGATGTTTCTATCCCTCTCACTTCCTCTCTGTTAAAAAAAAACAAACAATAAAATATATTTTAAAAAAAAAAAAAAAAAAAAAGACTAGTTCACAGAAGTAGCAGCGAATAGGGATGGAAGCTAAGTGGTACTCCTGCTCTGCTGCTCACTTAGTGGGTGTCATTTGACAGGTTACTCTTCCTCATCTTCTCATCTGCAACATGAAGATAGCCATACTACATCGAATGTCAAATTGATAAAAGAACAGAGGCTCACTTTATAAGAACAAAATACTATAGAAGTTCCTAGTATGTGTATGTGTGTGCACATATATCCTACATATAATCCTATAAAATAAAAGTGAAATATGCTAAGTGTCCGACCGATGGGTCACCGGTTCAGTTGACAGCCCTGGAGCCCTCCCGCAGTCCCTCCTTGGCTGGCCAGCCCCCATCTGCCCCAAGTGGGACTGGGCGAGAGGGCCCCGATTGGCCCCCCAAGCGCTGGCCAGTCAGTGGGACCCCACCCGTGCACAAATTTGTGCACCAGGCCTCCAGTATGACACAACTACCACATATTCAATTCAAAGAGCAATGACTTAGCCTAGCCAATTTGGCTCAGTGGATACAGCATCCACCTGTGGACCAAAGGGTCCTGGGTTCAATTCTGGTCAAGAGCATGTACCTCTGTTGCGGGCTCCTTCCCAGGCCCAGGCCCTGGTCAGGACTCATGCAGGAGGCAACCAATAGATGTGTTTTTCTCACATAGATATTTTTCTCTGTCTTTCCCTCTCTCATCCACTCTCTCTAAAAATCAATGGAAAAAATACCAAGTGAGGCCGAAACCGGTTTGGCTCAATGGATAGAGCGTCGGCTTGGGGACTGAAAGGTCCCGGATTCGATTCCGGTCAAGGGCATGTACCTTGGTTGCGGGCATACCCCCAGTAGGGGGTGTGCAAAGAGGCAGCTGATCGATGACTCTCTCTCATCGATGTTTCTAACTCTCTATCTCTCTCCCTTCCTCGCTGTACAAAATCAATAAATAATATTTTTTTAAAAAAATACCAAGTGAGGATTAAAAAAAAAAAAAAAAGTAATAACTTTGCTCTTTGTTTGTAAAAAAGCAAACAAAGAGAAATTCATATCTTACATGTGCTCCAGCTCCTTCTGACTATCTTCCAGAGAAATACCCAGCAACACACAGATGCCCCGTCCAATGGCACTTATCTGCTCTTCTCCAACTAGAAAAGAAACAAAAGACAAAAAGGACTCAGAACCATAGAGGCGCCATGAAACACTTTTAAATAACCACAGGAATGTTCAAATATCACTCATACTGCTTTTAACTTTTTTGACAAAGACAGCAGATATTCAAAAATGAAAGGAGTTATGTAAATGCAGTAAAACAATACTAATTTATGTCCATTCTGATTTTATATCTGGAATGAATGTGTTCTAAAGTGAACAACCTGCCGAGACCGGTTGGCTCAATGGATAGAGCGTCGGCTTGGGGACTGAAGGGTCCCGGGTTCGATTCCGGTCAAGGGCATGTACCTTGGTTGCGGGCATATCCCCAGTAGGGGGTGTGCAAGAGGCAGCTGATCGATGACTCTCTCTCATCGATGTTTCTAAATCTCTATCTCTCTCCATTCCTCTCTGTACAAAATCAATAAAATAAAAAATAAAAATTAAAAAAAAAAAAAAATATATATATATATATATATATATATATATATATATATATATATACACACACACACACACACACACACAATATATTTAAAGTGAACAACCAATAAGGAGGGTTTGAGGGCCACATTTTCATCTGTGTGACCTTTAAGACACCTGAAACTTTCTATGATGGAGTTTGCCAATCTATAAAAACAGAAGTTTTCCTGCCCAGAGAATCCAGCTCAGCTATATTAATTCTCAGGAGATGCCTGCTTATCTTGGAATCAGCAAATCTGGTAACACAATACACAGCACAAAATGGAAAACACATGTCATAAAATAAAAAAATAATTTTTCTACTTACTCCAGAAAAGAGAAATATATTATACACAAAACCATGCTTTAAAAGTTTCCAGTCAGCAAACTATTATTTCCCAGTTTAGTACTAAAGTTACATTCTAAGCCAATGATTCCCAGATCTTTTTAAATCATGCAACTCATTCATAAAAATAACCTCTGAACATATATTCTTAGTCCAAACATTTGTGTATGTGTTTATAGTTAAATGTACACTCTACTACCAATAGTGTTGGCACAGAACTTAGGCCAAGATGCATTGTTATGATGGAAAATAGAATCCTTCCTTCAAATACTGATCTTCATAATTTTCTAACCTTTTTGGTCAAATTTTTGCCAAATCTCATTAGATTATTCTGTGTGTTTGTGTGTGTGTGTGTTTGTGTGTGTGTGTGTGTGTTTGTGTGTGTGTGTGTGTGTGTGTTTGTTTACTTTATCATGTACTGACCTAATGTTCCAATTAGAAGAGGGGCAACTCTGCCATTTTCTTGTTTGCTTCAATTGGATAATAATATCTATAAATACACCTGACAAGGCCAGGCCAGCATGGCTCAGTGGTTAAGCATCAACCTATGAACCAGAAGGTCACATAGTTTGATTTCTTGACAGGGCATATGCCTGGTTTCAGGTTCAATCCCTAGTAGGGGACATGCGGGAGACAGCCGATCAATGATTCTCTCTCATCATTGGCCTTTCTATCTCTCTCTCTCCCTCTCCTTTCCTCTCTGAAGTCAATAATAATATTTTTAAATAAATAAATAGTATTTTCTTTTTTTTCTATTTCAATAATTCTTTATTTTTTTAATTGCAGTTGACATACATATTACATTAGTTTCAGGTGTATAATCTGTGATTAGACATTTATATAAAGTACAAAGTGTTCACCCTGATAAATCTAGTACCTATCTGATACCATATATAGTTATCACAATATTATTGACTACTAGAGGCCCGGTGCATGCAATTCATGCATGGGGGAGAGGGGAACGTGTGTCCCTCAGCCCAGTTTGCACGCTCTCCAATATGGGACCCCTCGAGGGATGTCCAACTGCCCATTTAGGCCTGATCCTACTGGTATCAGGGACATCCTTCTCACAATCTAGGACTGCTGGCTCCCAACTGCTCGCCTGCCTGCCTTCCCGACTGCCCCTAATCACTTCTGCCTGCCAGCCTGATTGCCCCTAACTGCCTTCCCCTGCAGGCCTGGCCAACCCCAACTGCCCTTCCCTGCAGGCCTGGTCCCCCCTAACTGCTCTCCCTGCAGGCCTGGGTCCCCCCCATCTGCCCTTCCCTGCAGGCCCAGTTGCCCCCAACTTCCTCCTCTGCCAGCCTGGTCACCCCTAACTGCCCTCCCCTGCAGGCTTGATTGCCCCCAACTGTCCTCCCCTGCTGGCCATCTTGTGGCAGCCATCTTGTGTCCACATGGGGGCAGCCATCTTTGACTGCATGGTGGCAGCCATCTTGTGTGTTGGAGTGATGGTCAATTTGCATATTACTCTTTTATTATATAGGATAGTCCTTATGTTGTACTTTACATCCCCATGATTATTTTGTAACTACAAGTTTGTACTTCTTAATCCCTTCACCTTTTTCATCCATTCCTCCAACCCCCATCCCTTTGTTCTTTATATCTATGAGTCTGTTTCTGGTCTGCCTGTTTGTTTGTTTGTTTGTTTGTTTTAGATTCTACATGCAAGTGAAATCATATGGCATTGTTTTTCTCTGACTTATTTTTCTCAGCACAGTACCCTAGGTCCATCCATGATGTTGCAGATAGCAAAATTTCATTCTTTTTATGAATAATAAAATGACAATAAATATATATATATATATATATATATATATATATATATATATATATATATATATAATTATTTTAAATGTAAATGGATTAAGTGTTCCAATGAAAAGACACAGGGTGGCTAAATGGATAAGAAAATAAGATCCTTATATATGCTGCCTACAAGAGACTCATTTCAGATGGAAAGACACACACATACTAAAAGTAAAGGAATGAAAAAAGATATTTCAGACCTAGCCAGTTTGGCTCAGTGGATAGAGCGTCGGCCTGCAGACTGAAAGGTCCCAGGTTCGATTCTAGTCAAGGGCACACACCTGCATTGTAGGTTCGATTCCCAGTGAGGGACGTGCAGAAGGGAGCCAATCAATGATTCTCTCATCATTGATGTTTCTATCTCTTTCTCCCTCTCCCTTCCACTCTGAAATGAATTTTTTTAAAAAAAGTATTTTAAAAAAAAATATATATATATATACATATATATATACAAGTCTTTAAAAAATATATATTTCATAAAAATGGAAGTAAAAAATAGAGCTGAGTTAGCAATACTTACAACAGACAAAAAAGACTTTAAAACAAAGACTATATAACAAGAGACAATGAAGGACCAGCAACTCTACTTCTGGGTATTTATCTGAAGAAACCCAAAACACTAAATCAAAAAGACATAGGCATCCATATGTTCAATGAAGCATTATTTACAATAGCCAAGACATGAAGCAACCTAACTGTCCATCAATAGGTGAATAGATGCTCTAACCGGTTTGGCTCAGTGGATAGAGCATCGGCCTGCGGACTGAAAGGTCCCAGGTTCGATTCCAGTCCAGGGCATGTACCTTGGTTGCGGGCACATCCTCAGTAGGGGGTGTGCAAGAGGCAGCTGATCATGACTCTCTCTCACCAATGTTTCTAACTCTATCCCTCTCCCTTCCTCTCTGTAAAAAAATCAATAAAAATACTTTTTGGAAGAAAAAATATTATTGTAATATTATTGTAAATATTGTATATAAATTGTGTCTTATCTTTTTCCTTAACATTGCATTAGGATTTTTCCATGTTATTAGCTTTTCCTAAACATCTTTTAACAGTCGCATCCCATCCAGTAGAACAGTTGCCTTCCATCCAATGACCTGACTCACACCACAGGGATACATTCGTTATAACTGATAAGCCTACAACAACAAACCATGATCTCCCAATGTCCGAAGTTGACATTGGGGTTTACTCCTGGTGCTTTGGATTTGGACAAAGACATATAAAATGACATGTCTCCACCATTATAGTATCTCAATGGGTCATTTCACTGTCTTAAAAGTCCTCTGTGTTCTGCCTTCTTATCCCTTTAAAGTGTTTTCTATAATTAGGATTATCTTCTAGAGTAGATTTTAAAAAGCAGAATCATAAGTTGAAGTGATTCAAATCACTATTTGAAGTTTCAACATTTTTACAATGTAACATTGTCTCCATAAGAAGCAAATTATGTCCCAAAGTCTATAGATGACACAGATTGCTCTCTTATTTTAGACCAGTTTTGCCCTTCCTCCTGAAACAAATAGAAGAATTGGGAGATTCAAAGGGGCCTTTTATTATAGACAAAGGGATTTCCAAATTTAAAATATATTTTATTGATTTTTTACAGAGAGGAAGGGAGAGAGATAGAGAGCTAGAAACATCGATGAGAAACATCGACCAGCTGCCTCCTGCACACACCCCACCGGGGATGTGCATGCAACCAAGGTACATGCCCTTGACCGGAATCGAACCCGGGACCCTTCAGTCTGCAGACCGACACTCTACCACTGAACCAAACCAGTTTCAGCGGGATTTCCAAATTTTAAAAAGTGGGAATTTTAGACAAAAGGTTACCAGGCTAGAAAATATCTGAGATATCTGGTCTGTTTCTCCATGTACAAGTGGCATCATCCAAGAACCTCTTCTTTGAGGTTCATCACCCCAATTAACACATTAAAGCCCATCGATTTTAGAACCTCTTCCCAAAGCTCTATGATTCTGTTCAGATTTCAGCTGCTAAAGCTGAGTGACAGGACTTGGGGTTTATGTACTATTCACCTGTTTATCCAAATGAATATGCTTGAAATGTTTCAAAACCAAGCTTTTTAAGTTAGATTACCACAATAACCACACTATGGCAACAAAATTTGCCTGCCAATCTCATAAAGTGAGTCCTTCACATAATAAGATATGACTCCTTGCTGAGACCGGTTTGGCTCAGTGGATAGAGCGTCAGCCTGCGGACTGAAAGGTGGCAGGTTCGATTCCAGTCAAAGGCATGTACCTTGGTTGTGGGCACATCCCCAGTAGGGGTGGTGCAGGAGGCAGCTGATCGATGATTCTCTCTCATTGATGTTTCTGTCTATCCCTCTCTCTTCCTCTCTGTAAAAAAATCAATAAAATATATTAAAAAAAAAAAAAAAAAAGATATGACTCCTTGCCGAAACCGGTTTGGCTCAGTGGATAGAGCGTTGGCCTGCGGACTCAAGGGTCCCGGGTTTGATTCCGGTCAAGGGCATGTGCCTTGCTTGCAGGGGGTGTGCAAGAGGCAGCTGATTGATGTTTCTGACATTCTATCCCTCTCCCTTCTTCTCTGTAAAAAAATCAATTAAAATATATATATATATATGATATGACTCGTAAGAGTGTACTCTTGTCCCAACTATAATATTGGAAATGACATTTTAGACTCTGAAATAAAATGTCATTAACTTACAGCCACATTTCGGTGGAGCCAGTCACATTTTTAAGGAATCAAAAAATCTCTTTCCATTACAATTCAACCAGAAGGCCTGGCTAACCCCAATGTCCCTCTAGCACTGAGAGAATTCCATTTTATTAACACCTTCCCACAATTCACGCTTATCTTTTTAATAGCAGGTAGGTTTGCCGAAACCGGTTTGGCTCAGTGGTAGAGCGTCGGTCTGCGGACTGAAAGGTCCCAGGTTCGATTCCGGTCAGGGGCATGTACATTGGTTGCGGGCACATCCCCAGTAGGGGGTGTGCAAGAGGCAGCTGGTCAATGTTTCTCTCTCATCGACGTTTCTAGCTCTCTATCTCTCTCCCTTCCTCTCTGTAAGAAATCAATAAAATATATTTTAAAAAAAGAAAAAAAAATAATAGCAGGTAGGTTTATTTGCTTGTTTTTAACTAAAAACATATAATTTAAATAGTCAACTAAAATCACTCAAAATATTCAGCAAATCTCACAGAATACATGTTTTCAATATTCCAGAATGAGAATTCAGAGAGAAAATATCAAAACTGAAATTCTCCAAAGTTTAGTCATTGTTGATGATGACCACATAAAGCAAAAAAATCTTCTCTTCTACAAATTATCCTAGTTTAGTGACTTTGAATATTAACTGAAATCTTTTTTTTAATATATGTTTTATTGATTTTTCACAGAGAGGAAGAGAGAGGGATAGAGAATTAGAAACATCGATGAGAGAGAATCATCGATCAGCTGCCTCCTGCACACCCCTTACCGGGGATGTGCCCGCAACCAAGGTACATGCCCTTGACCGGAATCGAACCCGGGACCTTT